AGAGGGAGAGAGAGAGAGAAAGAAGGAAGGAAGGAAGGAAGGAAGGAAGGAAGGAAGGAAGGAAGGAAGAAAGAAAGAAAGAAAGAAAGAAAGAAAGAAAGAAAGAAAGAAAGAAAGAAAGAAAGAGAAAGGGAGGGAGGGAGGGAGGGAGGAAGGGAGGAAGGAAGGAAGGAAGGAAGGAAGGACGGAAGGAAGGAAGGAAGCAGATATCCAAATGCTTGAAGAGGATGAAGCCAAAACTCATCAAGCACAAAAGACTAAAGTGGTCTTCTGTTGGGCGTCAGGGGTGAGTGATCCACAGACCACAAAATGGTGATAAGCATGGTTCCGTGGCACTGATTTGGATGGGGTAAAATATGTGTCTCATTGTGCCTAGTCACTGCCAGCAGCAGGAATACTGTGTTTCCATAAACAAGTCCCCAAACTAATTCGCCCAGAGAAAGGAAGACACGGGTAGATCTTGGAGACATTGCTCATGGCTATAATCTAGCACTACCCATGGCCATGGTCCTGGATATCCTTCCAAAAAAGACCTGAGCTTCTTGTCCGCAACCACTCAGCCTTGTGAGCACTGCCTTGACTAACCACCCTCTCCTTTGGCAGAAGAGCCCTATGATTCTCTCCTGTGGCACCTTTCTTGTGAGCCGTCCATAACCTTCTCCCCCAGTTCCTTCTACAAGGAATGTCTCTTCAAATTCATTCCTTTAACCAAAACATATGCTGATTTTGCCTCTATCAGATCCCCCATAACATAGTTATAAAATTATCCATCTAGTCACAACCTTCAAAATGCCTCATTCTTGTATCTCCAAAAGAATACTTTCTATGTTGTACAAAGCATGCACTCAAAAATGGTTTTTAACTGAACTACGTAGAACTTACTAGAGGCTCAAAACTTTTTGACTGACTTTCCTTTTGGAAACTTGGTTTCAGGCTGTGAATCTCCAAAACAAGTGATTATTTCTACTTCGACTGCTTCACATTAGGGTGTCAGCAGCTAACAAACACAGAACCATTAACAAACCCGGAAGTACGGTAACTACAGCATGTGTATGTAACGTGGGCCCAAGACGCTCTCATGTAATATTCACAGTAACCCAACAAGGTTTCTTTTCATCAGCAAGGTAACTGAGCAGAAAGAGGTTAAAACTGATCTGGTTACACAGTTGACAGGTGCTCAAGTGAAGCCAGAGTTTGTGTTACTTCAACATCCAGGTAGGTTTTGTTGTTATTGTTTGTTTTGTCTTTGTCATCGGAGTGCGTTCCCCTTTGATCTGGCCTCCGCTGATAGGACCCAAGCTATTCTCCTGCCTCTGCCTCAGGGCCTCTGCCAAACACTTCAGGCTCCCTTTGTCTCCATCAACCATCTGTTCAACGGTCACTTCCTCTATAAAATACTCTCTGGCCCTCTTATTTCATGCACTGAAAGCTTTTTATTATTTTTCTACATAGAGATGATTCCAGTTTCTAATTATATGCTCACTGCTGTAGGGTCTTCCCCATCCCCTCCATACAAGCTCCATGTTTATTTTACTCGCCACTACGTTCTCAACACCTACCAGAGGGCTGGGTAAATATTTGCAGAGCGAATTAATGATTGCCTTGAGCCACATTTTCGGTGATTCCATCTGGCCACATGAAATTCCACACCCTAAAAGGAAGTGTACCCAAGGCTTAGGGTTAACATACATCACCCTCTTCTGGACCTTAGAATGAGTGCCTCTGAGGGTCCCGTAATTTAAGCAATGTGACATGTGAGCAGAGCCCACAAACACAGAGAGAAGAACTTTAAGGAGGTAGGAAGGCCCTTCCCCATCCATTTCTTTGGTTAACAGTACAAATTCCCTTGACAAGTTTATTCAAGCTTTGAAAATAAAGCTCAAAATGCAAGTATCCCTGGCCAAGGGTATTCTTTCATTCATTTTTTCAGTAACTATTCTCTACGTGTCTACTAGGTATGATTCTATGTGCTGAAAAAGGCAGCTTGGAACTGTCTTCATGGAGCTTGTGATACATAGGCAGACAAATAAATAAATAAGAAATCCAAAGAGATGTATGTGCCATGAAGAAAATAAACTGGGGTGACGTGACAGGGAATGAATGGGGGCTATTTCAGGCCTCTCTGAGTCAGGAAACGCCTCTCTGAGTATGGGATCAGCCCAAAGATCTATAAGGAGAACAATGACGAGAACAGACAACCCAGAAAAGACTCATATAAATGGGAACTTACTATACTATAAAAGGGGCATTAAAATCAATGAAACAGTTCACTTGTTTTCCGAAACAAATAAAAGTATATCCATAACTCACGTACAAAAAAGAGAGTTCCCAAAATGCAAAAAGACAACTATCAAAGTATTTCAAGAAAATATAAGGGCATTTTCCAGGAGCCAAAGGTAAGGGAGGCCTGCATGAATGAGACGTAGAAAACAAAATCCAAAAATTAAAAAAGTGATAGACGTTTCCATTAAGATATTAAATGTCTTTGAGACCAAAAGCATCGACAGACAAGCAACAGGCTAAGATAAATATTGGAATTTTATAACAATATGATTTCTGGTATAAATACAGATTTATAGATCATTTTTTGAAAACCACTATAAAAGTGGGCCAAGCAGGGGCACCTGGGTGGCTCAGTCAGTTAAGCATCAGACTTCAGCTCAGGTCATGATTCCCACGGTTCGTGTGTTCG